TGTTAAATATTTATTTCCAGATTGCTATGTTTTTTTTTGGGGCCAGGCAATATTTGTTATTTTTTTTTTTTTTTTTTTTTAGTCTGAGTTCTCTAAAACTCTCAACCTCTTCATCTCCTCTTCCCCAGAGCAGTTTTGTTTTTTCACTAGGAAACATAATTCGTCTTTGCAAGTGGCTCACACTAATGGATGCTGTCTGCAAAGCTAAGCTTGTGCCTTCCACTTTCTAACAAAAGTGGTGTCTGATGTTGTCTCATAATTGGCTTAGACATTCTGATGAATTGGTCATGAACTGGTGGGTTAAGGTGTTTGTGTGCCGAGTGCGAATCTTCACAGGGCCAGTTCCAAGCCAGAAATCACAATCCTTTACCTGTCGCTTCTTTACACATGAGGAGGAACAATTGAGATGTTTGCTTTTTGTGAATCCTTGCATTAATGAGGGAGGGCTACAGTGAAATGGCTATTTTTTTAATCTTTTTTTGTGGGGACACTGGGCCTTTTATTAAGCTGTCCCAGAAGCCTTAACGTTCCCCAGGTGCTGGCCCTTTTTTCATTATGCACTTTGATGCACAGACTTTAACCTGTCTGTATGTGTCTCTTCAACTGTTATCCATATAGCCATATCATAGTCTCCTTTTTTCCATATTAATTCAGATTATCCATTTAACACTATTTTACAGTACTTATCATGGTTCATATATATATGGGCAATGTCATGGTGAACAATGGTGAAATATTAAGCGCTCTCTGTAAATAGTATAGCATAGTCTATCCAGCCAATCAATAAACTGTATTTATTTTTTTTTTTAACCCAATCTTCCTTTAAGCTTAAAGAAAGAAAAGTATTGTTTCTATAAACAGATGATTAAGGTTAGTTTTAAGGTCACTTTTCCAAATTGTTGTTTCTCACTGACACATGGCGCTTCACTGTTTTTGTAAAGGGAAATGCACCTTATTGTTCAGAAACAAAACCTTTCGCTCACATTTGGCTTTACAGCTACACCATTATTATTTTTTTTTCCACAGATGTTCAGATTTTTACTTTACCGCAGATTTCCACCATGCTATGGTCCCTGTAAGGAGTTTTTTTTTTTTTTTTTTTTTTAGGCGTATTCCAACAACCCAACAATGTGTATTTATAAGCTTCTTTTAATGAATTTGAGGTTTGTTGAACTTAATGTGTTATAGTTGCTATTTTGTTACTTTTTACAAATTGGCTCAATGCTCTTCTTTCAATAAATATGAAATGTAAAACAAGCAGAGATGTATTTAATCCCATTATTTCTTTAAGTTGTCTCTGCCTTTTCGGTTTTCAGCTTGGAGAGTTTTCTTCCTTCTATTACATTGATCAGCCTTTAAGTTGGGTTGAATTTTCTGTGACATTCAAACACGAAAGTCACAAAATTATTACATTTTTGTCACAAATTTTATGCATGGCATTAAAATCTTTATACATAGAAAAGGGTGGCAAACATTGCATTCAGCTCATCTGAACTAGTACTTTGTAGAGCCTCCTTTTTCTGGAGCTCTGGGTACATGTTTTTGAGGAAATCTCTCCAGCAACTTTGCACCTCTGGAGACTGACATGTTTACAGATTGCTCTTTGCAAAATAGCTCAAACTCAATCAAAGAGAGTTGGTGAACAGCATTGGATTATTTATTGGATTAAGGTCTGGATAATGTCTCATTTGTCCGTGTGTGGCAGATTGACTGATGGCCTGTCTTGGCCACACTCTGCCTCTGACCCACTGACCACTGAAGATAGAAAATTCCTAACGAAAACTCTGACCCGACATTGATTAAGCAGATGTAGACAATGGGTGGATGACTTTTTCTATTCCTTTCAGTTGAATACAAAGCTGGTGTAGCACAAAAATTCCAATAAACTTAAAGTTTAGGCTCTGTATTATCTCTAACAAATCTGATATCAGCCCTAGTATCGTATCATCACAATAAATTTTAATCATTTGACCCCTTTGTGAACCAAGATGCAATCTTTGTGGAATAAGCTATCTTTTTAAATAGGTTATTGGAGCCTATAAAAATGTGAAATGGTCTTTAATTTTTTTTAAAGGGACAAGAGGATTCAAAACTGTTTACTTCTGCAAGCGAGTCTCAAAATCATACCAATTTCAAAGGGCTTTCCAGCAGATCATTGACTTACTCCAAGACATTACTTCACATAGCCCAGCATTTGTCATTATCCTTTGACTGACTTAGTGTAAGATGATCTTACTTAAATGTGCTTAAATTGCTAATAAGTTCTTTTTTGTCCTCTCGAATCTGAAACTATGCTGAAGTTTCTCTGTTGTGAGTTAAGAGTCTCTTGACTCTCAGCATTTTGTGATGGACAATAAAGCTCAACGTGAATGATAGTTGTTTTAGGTGTGGAGCGTACAAAGACAAGATTTTTTTCCTTGAGAGCTCTTGGAAGATGGCCTGAAGATTAGATGTCTCCCAAGGGATGGTAGGGGTTGTGTTATAAGTGCTCCTCAACAATCCAGTGACAGTGGATGGGTTAATGGGATGATTAATCACACTGTGTCAGGAGAATAAGAGGGGGATTTTCCATACAGGAAAATTGGGATGTCTGGATGACTGGACCTTGTCAGAGGCAGCTGGTGATGTACAGACGCGGAAAGCGTGAGAGGGGGGTCAATGAGCTGAAGGTAGAGAGTGCTTTGAGTGAAAATTGGAGCTTTAGACTATCATTTCAGTGTAAACACTTCTGACATTGACTAATATTTACACATGTAAAGTGATACAGACTTCAGGAGAACATCCCATATGTGAACCTTTCAGTTGGTTCTGTGTTCGACTTTAGAGATGTATTTGCACCCCTTTCTGTGAACTTTGTAAAACGTTTTGGTTCTGACCGGCTCCAGATAAACTAAAAAGCCAAAAATGAAGGAGACCGAAGGAATACACTGATAAAAAAAAAAAAAGGCAGTGGAACTAGCACAACAAGGGATCTTTGATACTTTAACCTTCTGTCAACTGCTGAGTTTTAGCTATGAAATCATGCTATATTTTTGGTTTGCCTTTCTTCATGCATGCTAGGTCATGCTATGGGACCTCAAGAGTGACTTAATACCAGCAACCCATCACTCTGGCTGCATAGTTATAAGTTATACAGCATAGTTTCTGAGTCAGAAACTCAGGTGCATAGCTGGTGGATACAGCAGGAGGGGAAGAAGGGGTTGAAAACCACAGGTATAATGGAAGACAGATAAGAGGCAGTTATACTTTCAAATAACATCCTTAGATGTTTGATTTTGACGGTCCTTTCTCAACCAAACCCCTTTTCTGTAAGTTTGATAGCTGATGTGGGTGACTATTCATATTTATACATCTCTCCTCCATGACTTTCTTTTGGCTATGTTAAGATAGCAATGATAGTAATGAGGTATGATTTAGAGTGCACTTTCTAGCCTCAATTATAGTCCTCAAAAGTTTGCATAAGACATCTGTATGCATCACACTTTATGTACATTTTCTGTATTGACACAAAAGTAAAGCAATCTAAGTCACACATGCCTCATTTTATAAGGAAAATTGGACACTGTCTACATTTAGGGCAAAAATGCATTTAATATTGAATCAGAAGTAGGGCAAAAATCAGAAGTAATGGTTTCACACCTGCATTGAATGTAGAGGAGACATGACTTTTCCAAGTTTAAATATAACGATCCACCCATTAAAGATGTATGTACCATAGTTATCTAATCTTAATCAACATAACTAGTTATTGCTCGATTATTACACAAATTAAGCTCATTTTCACAATTAGTACTATCTGATTTCATGTTTATTACTTTATTCTCAAAAAACACTTGATGGTCATAATCTAACAGAATAAAAAAAAATAAAAATAAACAAAGTAATTAAAACAAAATATCTGACAATATTTTCTGCCAGCATCCGAATATTTAAATATTCTTAAAGTCTGATGCTGGCACAACGATGATTTGAACAACCTCACAAAGCTTCAGCTTCTCGTTTCACAGAAGAATACACGAGAAATACAAGACTTTATTAAAGCAACTAAATGGACCACATTTACATAGTGCTATTCTATCCTTACTGACAACTCAAAGCACTTTTACAATACAAGTCAAAATCACCCAGTCACACACCGATTTGGTGATGGGTGGGTAACATGGGATTCAGAATCGTGTCCAAGGACACTTTGAAATGTGGTGTGTGGAAGCTGGAATCACATGTTTATGAGTTCCCCATCTTCAGAGCATTTCACAAAAATGCTGATCAAGGCAGAGCTGTAAAGAAAAAAAAAACTATCAAAATGATCCAGTTAGTGTTTCCTCGTGATCTTGTAAACATTCCAGAGTCTTATAGTAATGTGATATAGGCTAAAAGCCAGCATTTATGTATTAAAAGACAATGTGAGTTGGGGAAAAAAACATAATTTAGTCAGACAGACAGTCAATCAATCAAACATTTCTCCTCACTTTTCATACACAACAAATGTAACACAAAATGATGTACAGAACCAAGCAAAATAAATTACTGTCCAGGGTAATGCCATTGACTTCACAACCAGACACTGTGGTGACATGCACTCATTCAATGCATTTAGGCTAAAATAACTTACCAAAGTTGATCAAACAGATGTTTTATGTGACCAAAAAATCCATAAATGCACATTTGTAATTACAATTCAATTTATTATCTGCTTGTCTGAGATAAGGTCAACAGATCCAAGAAGGAACACTATTCAAGCGTCTCCTCAGAAATTCTGGGGCATCCCATAGGATCCCAAAGTCAGACAGGATATAGCATCCCTCCAGCATGTTCTGGGTCTTAACCAGGATCTCCTTCCAGTAGAACATGCCTTAAAACCTAGGGGACATCCTATTCAAATGTGCACACCACCACCAAATGACTCATTTTAATACAGAGAACAGTAGCTCTACTTTGAAGTTCCCCAAACTCAAAGTGTTCATTGTTATTCCATTGAAATATTCACATTTGAATTGTTTCTTGTGATGGAAAAGTTAGAAAAATCAGCAGCAACTTATGCAGAATGGATTCAAATTTAAGAAACCCAAAAGTTGTGTGTATTCTGACTGAAATTCAAGATTGCATCTGAATGTACGTTTGCTTTTGTTTTTGCACATAGATGATTTTGACTGGGCAGAGAACAAGGGGGGGCGGGGGGGGGAAACTCAGGCTTCCTAAATTAATCCATTTGCTTTGCTATATTCTGCATTTGCATTCTTCATTAGTTCCCCAGGAGTTATTCATGACAAGTTGTGCTTGTCTAAAAGAGAGCAGCTGGTTACAATAAGACAATCTCGACTAAAGATCTGTAGCTCTCTGCTTTGACAATTCAAAAATAGCTCATTTTCTCCACTCTTTACCTCAAATGGAAAATGCTGAACTTCTATACCACAATGTCCTGGATTGAACATATTGATGTAATGCATTCATACCCTATTTTACCAACTGTGAAACAAAACCTCAGTTTGTACTACGGTCTATCCCCCTTTTTTCCGCCATGCCACATGAGGGCCAGAGGAATGCTGGAGTCAGGTATATATGAGTGATTTTATCCCACTGCAGGCCACTACATGACATTATGACTCCAATAAAACTGTCAATGCAGAAAAACACCTACTGTACTGCTACTTTGAACAACAACAAAAAAAAAGAGAATCACACAACTTTTCTAACACGTATTCAAATTTCCCAATGTATTAAAAATGTGCCGTCATAGCAGCTGTCTGGCAAAGCTCACCTTCCTAAGCCAAAGCAGAGCATGTTCCACTTCCCAGCATTCATTTTAAAACAATAGGTGGGCCAAAAATCCAGCGCTCCACAGGGCTGCATTTAAGGCTATTTGAGATTGTGGTTGTGCGTTGTAGAGAGAGAACGAAGGCAGGGCACATCACTGTGTCGTCACAAAGAGTCTGGACTGGATCAGAGAACCGAGCTGGGGCCGCAGAATTCCCGTTTCTGTTAGTGTCAGTTCTATCTCAGGGTCCTCCCCCAGAAACCACACCCACCACAAGTTGTTGCAAATGGTTCAGAGCTCTCCCGAAAATAGAAGGGTTATACATAGAGGTCAAAATTTCTCAACGTGCATGGCTGAGGTTTGTGTGTGTGTGTGTGTGTGTTTGTATATAGAGTGACAGGATCTGAGTGAGGAAATCATTACCAGCTCCAAAATAAGTAACCCCCCCCCCCCCCTGTCAAAGTTTCAGTTGTCTTGGTTTAAATTGTCATCATGGCTCCTCAACTAGGTTTTAATGTCATGCCCTGCTGGGAGTGCTGTAAAAGTTTTTAGATTGAAACACAGTCGCAAGCAAGAATAATGGAGGACATCTGAAGAAATAACCTGAATTGACAAGTAAATCTTGAAGATTAACTGCTCACGAATTGTGCAGTAAAGTCCACCACGGCACATCTTGATTTCATCGCCCTCAGATGTGAACATATTCACCTTCATGTGACGGTTAATTAATACAATATGTTACTTGGTCAGCGTGGCCAGTTTTGAAGGGTTTTTTTTTTGTTTTTGTTTTGGGGAAGCTTTTTCTATTTAGTTCACAAAACATACTTAAGAAAGATAAACATTTGTTATTGGGTTTTAATCTCATACATATGGACTAGTGCATTTGTGTCACTGCTCTACTCAGACATCCACCTTGTTGTCGAGTCGATGCAGGTTGCATACTCTCCCCGCTGTCATCGCATGCTTGCATTATGGCTTCCTCTCGGAGTGCATGCGATTCATCACGCGATAAGACATGTTTACAAGCAGCGCAGGACAGCCGTACTTGTTTATGGTTTGCCGTTAGGCCTTCTCCCTCTTCCTCTAGCTCCGGTCATGTTGTGTGTGTCTCCACGTACTCCCCCACAGGGAGCTAAATACCAGGTCAGAACCAGTAGCTGAGTGATCCTGTCAGCCGGCTAAGCCTTCGTGGATTACACTAAAGTGGGCTCCTGAGGTTACTCCGACATCAGCCCAGCTCCGCCCTGTTACGGTCAAACAACAGCATCACAGTAACTGAGGTTTCTCTTGTATTGTTCATTGGAACAATAGATGTTAATGTATTGAAACATCTTACAAAACACGTTTTGTGCTACATTAAACGTAGCACGTTGCTTTCCTCAGCCTTAGATGAATGTGATGAAGTTTGTGAAGTACTGCCACCATGGAAACTGTTAAGTCTTAATTCAAAGTTGTTTGAATTCTTTATTCTAGCAAGTGATTCTGTATAATAGTGATAGTTCATCAATACTATTCGTTCTAAGAAATAAATTCTTCCATGCGTAGGTTAAGAACTGGCAGCTGAAACTGGAAAAAGTTGTTGAACTTTTGTTTAGCCTGAGCAAAATCAAGCCTGAGCAAAATCAAACAGTTCCTCAATCAAAGACCTGTTTCTAAGGCAATAAATATTAAGTGGAACTGTTCATTTATAAAATTCCCACTTTAAATTTCTTCCCCTTAGAAATCGGATGGAACAGCTGTGTTTATTTTGAAAGGGAATAAGAGCGAGGTCCAAATAAGCCACATCCAGGTCATGCACAGCTGAAGTAAAGAGTTTCAACAGAGAAAACAGCAAAAACAGAAACAGACTGTGATGAAATTAGCTGATGGAACATAATTAATGAAGCCTATCAGCAACAGTGTCGAAATTCCAGCTGCAGAAGGATTGTGACCGCTAACAGCAGTCATCGCGGCTGATAGTTAATATTTTTTGCACACCCATCCCCTTCCTCCCTCACTAAGACAAATACGGATACTATGACGGCCAGAAAAATAACAACCAGAGCAATGAAAAAGCATTCCATCTGCTACAGGCTTGGAATCCATGCCGAATATAATGAACTGCTGAAATAATTATAAACGACGTGACTATTAGTGTGTTTAAAATAGACTGAGTGACAATGATTAGGTAGTGCTTGAAGATTTACCATTAAGCCAGGGTTTATAAACATTAATTTCAGAATGTTGCAGAATAATTAGTCATGTCGTGTTATAACATTTATGGATCATATTATCAGACCAAGCATGCAGACTTAAAACTGAGAGCCACTACCCGTTCATCCCTACATGTCACAAACCACATACGCTAGGCTAGTTAGCACTCTCATTGAAAAGCACTTAATGAAATGAGATGTTTAAGAGAAAGACAGCTCCTGGGAAATTACCTGGAATGAAAGAATCTTACTTCCATGAAACCGTGTGTCTATTGTTTAACTTTATAAGAATAGTCTTAGTTCTCAGTCAAGTTAATGTTCCTTTTGATGAAGAACTATTGACGTCAAATGTCGAAAGACTAAAACGAAATAGAACAGATCAGTGTACAGAAACAGAAGGTTATAATCCTGTCCTGCATTTTGTAATTATTTTTTCCCCATCTGCCTAAATGTCACTCAGATTAGATCTACATGTTTTTCCTAATCTCATCATGTAGATCACGTTTGATCTACATGATGCTGCCAGTATGACAACATCCTATTGATTGAAAATTAGCAGAGGCTCTTGTATAATTCTTGGCCGTTTTCACAACATGAATGTCGTTCCAACTGAAGAAAAAAATAATTATATTACACAACAAGTTGACAGTCTTGTGCAATGGTGACTTAGGATTGAAAATGTAGCGTTTTTTATGCATTCTTCCAATTGTGTGATGCCGGTGAGAATGGGCTTGACTTTGTCAAATTCGAAGGCATGCTTGTTTGAAACACAGTAATTTAAAAGTTATTTGCCTTTGCTAGTTTTCCCTTCATTGCAATCCATCTTTCAGGCTTCCAGCACCATAAAACACTATTCCAGTCCTCAGATGATGAAAATTTGACAAATTATAGCTCAGCATGTGGAGCAATAAAAAAAGGTATTTATTGCCATGCTAATTGGGCTAAGATATATAAAGCCTCCAAATCAAACAGTTAAAACCTCTTAATCATTCTAGAATACAGAACAATTTCAAGCTTCAATTTAACGAATAAAAACACATTTAAAACTAAAACTACACGATCAAACAAATCCAACAACTTGACACATCTACTTTTGGTGTGCGCATTCATGTGTGAGCACATTCTAGCTGCATCTGGTAGCTGACTGACCTGCTCAGCTCGCTGTGTAACTCCTGTTCTGAGGGGCCACCCTTCCTTAGCCATTTGGCGAGCCAGCTCACATCAAAGCTGATGGAAGGCTGGACCGCAGCCCAGCACCATGACAGACTGGCGAGAAGCCCAGAACTCAAGCCCCTGGCTTAAGGCCTACAGGCCTGGGGCTGGAGGTTGACAGGGCCCAGCTATGAAGGCCTGATGAATGGATTCTGGCACTCAGCTAGTGATGTGTGCAAATTTGTGTCCACATATACACTGCACACTCCGACTTACATGCAACAGTAATGATTGGCTGTGGTGTCAGGGTTAATGAGATGTCCAGCTTTGGTTGTTCTTACACTCAGATATGCGGTCCCTTTGGGTTTTGCAGACAAATCCAGAAAGGAATGCAAACGCATTCTTTGCAGCGTTGTGCATTGTCGTGGGCTCGTCACATGGGGAGTGACAAGCGACAGCAAAAGGCTAAAGTTTTCTACCACTCAACATGAACCCAACACACGGGTACATTTTTGCAACAATATACTCATACCCTGTGTGGTACTCACAGCAAAAAGTGTACAAATCTAACTGTTTTGTATGCAAAAATATGAGGATAAATATGAGGAACTGTGTTGAGCTATGTGGGATTGTGGGAAATGAAGAAATTTGTCTCCAGAAATGTAGGAAATCAGTACGTTCATGGACAGTACACACAGCTGACTAAAAATGCACAGCACGCCCAAGTAGGTGGGCAGCTTTAGGCAGCATTTCATAATAACATCATGAGAATCAAACATGGTAGTGGCAGTGTGTTGGTCTGGAGATACTATGATGTTTAGAAATATCATGATTTAAAGTGCATATAAGATGCTTTTAAATATTTCCTTTTCACAGGTAAATTATTCACTTATGGTCTACATAAAGTTGTGGAACTGTAATCTTTTGGTCTGAATTTCTGGTTATTGTAGCTCCATTTTTGTAGTTTGATAGCAGTGATACAATTATCTACCAGCAGAGAAACTTTTTATTCCAAAGATTTTTATAGATGTCAACAATGGAGGACTTGTCCATCCAACCTTACATGTCGGAGCCACAGTCTGAGCGGGAGAATGAAGACGACGAACCTGAAGAACCACACGTTCAAATGAATGCATCCCAATGATGTTATTACACCCACCAGCTAAAAGTTAGCACGCAACGCTAACAGAAGCAGAAGGCACAATGCTACCGTCAAACCAATGGACTTGACATCCTTCTCAACACACAAAATTCATGTCTAAAATAGGTTTCTCTGCCATTTTAGGATTTAAATGATGTAAATGACTGACTGGATTTGTGAAATGTGCTCTCTACCAGAAAACCTCAAAAGGAGAATGTCAGGCCTACAGTTTGCAACCTCATGCGTACGCCCGTGGGTTAGGCAGCAGGACAAAAGGAATGTTCACAAATTATTCCCCTGCAATGTAAAACGCTCATTAACATTTATCACAAACATGTGGCACAGCCAGCTGTTAGGCTGAGGCTGGTTTGTATTTTCTATTTACTCAGTTTAGTTTTATTGTCTTTTAAAATTTAATGATGAGAAACAAAAGTATTACAAAAAGGCTAAATCACAAGAAATGTGTAAGGGCAAATACTTTTCCTTGGCACTAATTGCATAACACCTTATAGATTTTGATTTGTGAAAAACAAATTGAAACCATGAATCAATTTCCTTCCACTTTGCAAGTATGCAATACTGAATACATACAAGTTTGGGGCTCTTATGTGAAAGGAAACAGGAAGCGTTTACAAGGCTCTGAACATGCATTATTCTTACATTTCATATTTTTTGCTTCATCTAATATGCCCAAATGGAGCCTAATTTCACAGTAATCAAGGATAAAGACAGTATAATATGACAATGTTCCTTTTTTTTACCTCTATGAAACTACACTGCATGTGGTATAATGCATAAAATGCATCATTATGCAAAACATGTGTTTCCATAATCCTGTATTTCTTTCTGAAATAATTAACAGTGACATCTACAAGAAATACAAGAAAAGGCAAATTAAATTTTCTCACATTGGACGGGGGAAATCCACAAATACAACTAAAAAAAAAAACAAAACTTTTTGACCATGTAGCTCAAATGTACAACAAAGACAAAATATATTCAGCCCCAAGGCAATAGAAAATTTGGTGCCAATGTTTTCTTCGTTGTCTTCCCACTCTTCACAGCGCCTCACTTTTCACTCTTTATGTACTTTACTGTCATACAACCCGTATGTCTCTTATACTTGGCTTTCTCAAGCTTACTTTTTGGATGTCAACAGAGACAAATCTGGTTTTCTTGTTCATGGAAAGAGCAGCCAGAAACAAAACTGAGACCATTAATCTGTCCACCATTTTCTCTTGGTTTGTCCAGTGAAAGAACATATTAAAGATGTGCACATGGACATGATGCCAAAGTATTAACATTGTTGTTCTGGTGTGAGTGTGCTGATTCCAGATCAACTTATCACTCGGGCTTTGGGTCCTAATGTCTCCTGGAGCACTGTGCTGTGCTGTCTGCCAAGTAAAACCAGGCCAACACTAACAAGGGCAGCATGTTAACCTGATTCATAAAGTTGAATTGCCATCAATCCCAAGGCCAGGCTAATTTGACAATTAATTTAAAAAAAGGTATTCCACTGTTCCTCCTTTTTTTGTACCCGTTACATAAAACCACATTTGACGGTGACAACCTCCAGCAAATACAACTAGAATTTATGTATTTATGTTTTAAACAAATATACAAGGTGATTTAGAGGGACCACACAAGAGTTGATGAGACACAGACTGCAATCAATAGAAACGTATCCTTAAATCAAAGTTTCCTTCAAGGCGCCAAATGCAGGTGTGCTGAGAAAAATTGGCCCCACTAAGTGCGATCATGCTGTACCACTCACTTTGTCCTTTCTCGTGCTTCGGGTGAACATAGGTAGACCAGTAAAACCAGTCGCCCATCCCAGCCACAGTCCAACACAAACCTGCAGACACGCCACAGACCTGCACAAATAACTCACTGTCTGTAGAAGAGGGTTTTTTTTTTTTTTTTTTTTTTAACCTGGATGTCTGAAAACGAGCAGAAGGAAAGTTTATTTGGGACTGTAGAGCATTTTTGGATCCAGTCCATGTCTGTAATGCATGTATAGTATTTCACTGCACTTTACCTGCTGGAGTAGAAGATAAAAATATTACTTATGTGTGCAAGGATTACTCAGCCATGGAAAAGATGACACAGGTTATATATGCAGTCATTTCTGCATTGCACCGTGTGCGCCTGCAAACGGCTTTTATTTACATTTGTGTGTGTGTGTGTGTATACTTGTATAAACTACATATAGAGGGCCACTTTCAGCATTTTTCCTAACAAAAGGAGCTCGTTGGTGGACAGTGAGGACATTTTCGTAATTCTCACTTCTTTTTTTTATTTTTTATTTTTATTTAAATGTATGGTCTGAATGAAGTTTTTAGTTAAGGTTAGACATAGATGTAGTTACTAAATTGAATGGAAGCCAATCCGAAGTTCTCAGTTTGTATAGAAGTATAAGGATGTGTGTGTGTGCACGCATGTGTGTGTGTGTGTGTGTGTGTGTGAAAGCATGTTTGCGTGAAAGCGAACATTCATCGATGTGTATATTGGATCAGGATGTTGAAGCTCTCTGTACACTGCCCTCCATAAGGCGCAGGTGTTTTCAGTCAGACCGTGGTTCCTAAGTCTTCACCCGAAGGGTTTTAAGAGACTGGCATTCCTTTTAGACAGTGTCCCTCTGCACTGCAACTCTGGAAAGACTGTGTGCTAACTTCAGCTACTGCACACACACTAGCCCACTGATTTTTTTATTTTTTTATTTTTATTTACTGTCACAATTTCATATTGCCAAACTTTCTTTCAAAGCAAAAGTTACAAACATGTACTTTCTCCACGCAGCCATCATGTGTATTCCTGTAATGCAAAACTCAAAATGCAACATCTTTTACTTCATTCACATAGTTTACCGTTTTTCCATTAGTGATGTAAAGCATTGAGAGGGAGGAACGGTACAAACACAGAAGGGAGACCTAGATATCTTCCTCTTTGTGGTTATATACGAGTATTCCCCTGAGCGTTTTGGGCTGTAAGAGATGTAAGCATGCATACTCCCCCAACACACAGATACACTCAGGAAGTTGGGGTTTTCTATTAAGGTTTAATTTGCATTTCAAATTCTTTTTTTCCTACATGGTGAAATGAAAAGCACAGTTTAAAAAAACTCAAAATTGAACATGATTACTTTGAGAATAATTAAAATGCAGTCTGTCAATGAGTAAAAATTAGAAAGGACCATGCATGTAGTCTTACAAATTTCTATGAAACTTCACCTGGTTTGCTTCAAGCAGCATATGCGCAGAGGGAAAACATAAATCCATTTACAGCATCTCACTTGAGGTCAGTTGAAGTTGGTTATGGATAATTTCCCTGTGGGTGGCAAGGAGAACTTCATGTTAATCTTTTTTCAATCGTTGTACAATAAAAAATAAATGACACAACTCCCATGACCCCCAAAAATGAGGGGAAATGAATTCTGCTTTGTAAAAGAAGTATCTACCTACATCTCTGAACTAACATTATGAGAAAAAGGTGACTGACGACAGCTTAAATATTTAGCTTTTATCCTTAAAAGCACTAGTAATTGAATAGGATACTTATACAATAACTCGTGCTTTGGTAATTTGACACATCATTGGGAACTACTTTCTATTTGGTCGCATCTATTCTAATGCCTAAACTTTAAGAAGATTAACCGGTATCTAGATGGGATGGTAGATACTGTTTTGTTTGAGAAAAACCCTACACCAGCCTATAGATCGCTTGGAACTGTCAGAGGCAGTACTTTACCATTGTGGATAGATATCCAGAAAAAACATATGGGGTGTAACATTAAACTCTGTAATTGTTCCTCAATTTGGTTGAATTATAATTTACAATAGAACTCTTTGAACTTTAGCTGATCCTCTGGGGGAATCCACAGCATTTAATTTCTGTTTGATGTGATTTCTTCATTCCAAATGTTCAAGGAGTGTTACTTTCTTTCTGGGTCTTTGTAGTTCATGAAAATATAACTTACATCAACGGTCTTTGGAGTTCTGGGAAATTTGCCTTTGCACTCCCATTCACTGACCACCTGGTCACATACTAAGACTTTACTGGTTTATTGTCTATCATTTACAGGACAATGATGAAAATTGTTGAACATTTGAACATTCTTTAAAATTTAAATCATGACTTTTGCATTTGGCAGGACAAATATTTGAAGTGAGTGAGATTTTCAGATTGTTTCCAAAGTCTTTACCCATTTCTATCACAACTCAAATTTAAATTTACTGTTTATCAAATTTGAATATTTGAAGTCTGGGCATGGACTATTGCTTACTTGTGAAAATCGATTCATGAAACAATTTTCTCTTAAATTTAAAAGTAATGTTTTTTGGGTTAAAAAGGCTTACAGTGTTTTTTGGGTTAAAAAGGCTTACAGTGCAAAGCATTAATGGAAAAAAAAATATTTTCCAAACTGTAAATTATTTGCAAGTTTCCACAACATAATCAAAAATGCAAAATTGAAAGTTCAGGATATCAAAAGTACACTAAAAGAAATACAGTTTTGTAAAAGCCCTGAAGAAGGGGAATATTTTAATCAAAGAGCCAGACACGTCTATACACTAAATTATACCAAACTTGAAACAGTATAATAGCTAACAACGGTGCTAACAACAAAGCTAACAACGGAGTTTGTCAACATACATAGTGTCAAAAATACACTCACATGCTTCCCAAACGTTAATAAAGTAATTTACAGCTCTGTTTATATATAAATTCACACCTGAAGAAGAGGAATATTTGAACGAAAGAGCCAGACACGTAACTTCTGCTTCAGCGTGTAATATTATCTGAGGAGGAAGTTCCGGTGCTCTTCACCAAGCGCTAGACTCCCCCTGCTGGGGGATCTGACCACTACATCAGCCAATTCAAACCTGCCAATCTAAATTCTGATGAGATCAAACACAGAAGAGGACGTATCTTCTCACGCCTGGTACAACTAAATTATCTGGCCCACCTGCTATTATTTCCATTACTTCCAGTAAGGTTTGAGTAAGGTCTGAAAAAAGGGTGGAAAAAATGGAAACCACCAAACAAGTAATCTGTGCCTAGTTTCACTCAAACTCAAATTCATCCAGGGATATAATTTATATTTGAACACTGGAGGACACCCAAGGAAATACTTAAAGGCTCCAAAAACTCTAGTTTAATTCATGCTTGTGATATACTTCACATATTCTGCAAGTCCTTGGCACTCATCACAAATCAGTGGTGTATAAACATAATTTAAAGCAGACAGAGTTGGTCTTAATTTCACATCCAGCCCTGGACAGCATATATATAGAAAATAGAAGTCAATTTCCCACACTGATTTATACGAGCAGTGACTGTGGGATTTGGAAAAATGTATACTCACTCATAATGAAAGAAATGGAGTAGTTTTTAGGGGCTTTTGTTGCTGTTTTTCTTTACTTCTGTATTCTGTAATTGTAAGAGATTTTTAAGAGAAATTATTTTATTCCTGTTGTTACATTCAGAGGTTTACATATGTTTCCTTAGTATTTAGAGGCATTAACTTTTAAGCTATACGACTTAGGTCAAGCATTTTGGGAAACCTTTTTACAAGCTTCTCTTAGCAGTTTGTGGGAATTTTGGCCCACTACTCCTGACAGAGCTGGTGTACAGTAAAAATCTTTGAAGACAAATTTTCATCTCTCTGCACTGATGTTCATTTTTTATTTGTGGTATTTATATTCGTGTTATGGAAATAATACTTGGATTGACCTTTGATTAAAATATGCTATAACAAAAAACAAATTTTTTGAGCACTAGATAATGTTCCCTAAAATATTAACCAGCACAACATCGTTGGTATCTTCCGTGCAGTCATCAGTGTCAGTGGTAACTTTTGTTCTAAACCTTACCTGTTTGTGTAGGCATGGTACAAATCTTGTTTTCTATCTTTTAATTCCACTACAAAGTGAAGCCTGGATTGCAGCTCAAACTCCTTACTTTCTTCTCTTTTTTCAAGCATTGATTTATTGTAATGTATGTCCCATTTCTTAGGTAAAATTCATCTTACAAAAATATGTTGCTTTAACAAATACTTTAGTTTAATAGTGTACCACTCATTGGAAACTGATATACAGCAAATTAAGCATGGCTGCTGAATAAACCTGGGAAGGCAATGCTGTTTTATTCGACATGTGACATTAGCTCAATCGGCCCATGGAAACTGAAACTCAGTACTAATAAAATATCTCGAGCCAACCCAAATGTATTAAATAAAAACAACTAAATCTCCTAATGGTGAAAGAAACCTTATAACCGAGTGGAAATGTGTTCCATGTTTTTCATTTTCATTCAGCGAGAATGATTCATTTAAAAGACCACATCTCAACAGGTTCAGCGCATCCAAGTCTGCATTGTTAAGTGCAAAATCATTTTTTGCCAGTTTGCTTTCATTCAATTTCACAACTAGCATCTGATATTAATTCTAATATCAGAATTAATGATTTATCTATGCATTTTTTGTTCACTACTGAAAAGAAAAAGAAATAGTCAAACACAATACATTGTAGTTGTTAAATAAAATTTTGTGGTATACTCAAGTCCTTTGCTCCACTGGAAAAGATAGATGGATGTGAAGAAAGTTTATTTTGAATCCTTGTCAACTTTGGATGCTGGCCGAACACCTTCACATCACGACTTCAGTAGTTTGGAAGTATGGTTTGAATCATGGTGCAAAAAAAAAAAAAAAAAAGAATAATTCATTTTCTTGTTTTAAAATAAATGTAGTTTCAAACATCTGAAACCATTTTGACGGTAGTATTTGCTTCTTGCAAACTTTTACCCCTAAACTATTTTTGTTGTAAATTATAAACTCCACTTTCATAGCAAATGCAAGGCAAGGTTATTTGTATAGCACTGCACAGAAAGTAATTCAAAGTGACTATGGGAACATAAAGAATGACATTAAATTATAAAAATACAAAAATGTAAGCATTAAATAAAAAGCAAGGAAAGATAAAAATGATTTTAAAAATACCTTAGAAAAGAAAAAAGAAACTGATAAAGCAACATTTAAGTGTAATGTTTCAGTAAACAACAATAGTCTTTGTCCTTTGTGCACATTTCAGGTTTTCAGGAAGGCTATTCCAGAACTGAGGAGCATGTTGGCTAACCGTGTTTAGTTTCCATCCTGGGAACTCTGCATAAACAACACTTTGATTAACAGAGAGGTCAATATAGATCATAGTAGGGTCTAGGGTTGGGCTTGTCTGGAAGGTGAAGCTCCATCCCAGTCTCAAGAGGTGTCCAACAGGTTAGAAGAAAAGCATTTGCATCATTTGATGGTGCCACTTCCATGTTTTACAATGGAGGAAGTACTTCCAGAAGGGTCTGTGTTTAGTTAGTTAGGTTATGCAACATGTAACATTTTGCATAATGGCCAGGAAAACAAATGTGTTTGATCTCAACATTATTTCCAGTTGTAATTCACAATCATGCAACGCCAAATACTTTTAAGTTCAAAGTTCAGAGAAGGTTCTCCTATCAACATATACACATATAGTTTTATAGAAATATGCCATCAAAATCTCATTGAACCTACAGCACTGCCCCCACTCCCTTGAACAAAGTTTATGTTAAAAAAAATATAATGGATTACTCAGAATAAAATGCAAAAGGAAAGACGTCCTCCCAAACTCACAAAAAGAACACAGAAAAGAAAGAATCCTCATAAAAGAAAAATCTATTTGATTAATAGAAGCTACATAAAACATAGCAGGAATGGTATGTATCAAAATGAAAAGGTCAAAATAAATATGTTTCACAATCATAATAAAAGATGAGAAGGGGAGAAGAAAGAAAAGGTATGATATGCAAACCTCTAAAAGCTTTATCTACTATTGATCAGTTTGTGGTGATGGTATTAAATATTCCACTTGTCCATAATGAAAAGTTAAAGTGAAAATCGTAGACACTAAACTCTTAAATAACTGTATAAATGAAAACTACAGCTCAGTTAGAAAGTGGACAAATATGTTTGACAAAAGGAGTGGAGGAAAAAAACACCCCTGGGAGGAAATAAGGTCCAGTGAAAAGTGAATGAAATAACACACAGTGAGAGGGGGAGGCAATAAAGTTCGGAAGTTCAAGTGAAGTGCTCATCTGGGCTCTTCTAGAAAATGTGGGGAAAAAACCTGGTGGCATATCATAAGGACTATTTCAAGTAAACTTAAAACCGTACAAATGAAACATTGTGATCTTAACATTCTTTTAACATGGGTTTACCATGCTTCTCAATTTTTGAGCCTCGCTTCTACTTTTCGCTGCATTGTTGATGTTTCCCAATCGTCTATCTCAAATAACCTCATCTTTTTGTGCTGTTTCACTTTTTTTGACAGATCTGATTGTGTGTGAGTTTCTTATTTCCGCTCTTAATTATGATGCGCCACAGGATTTTTGGATTACACAGCTCATTGGGAAAACTCTTTATACACCCACTAATAAGCGATATAAATCACAAGTACACACATCTTCACTCGCAGACATGCAACTATACGAACACGCACGCACACACCAACACACGCACGCGCACGCCTTTGAGCTATGACGAGATCATGTACAGTATATATTACATTTCTGATTATTTTTAATCACAACATGGCCTATTCTGTTACTGTGGGACTGCAAGAGTCATACAAATTAGCACCCTAATCAAAAGACTCCCCAGGACTTTCTCTGACTGCAAACAGACGATGTTCCCGCCCTGCTCGCCTCAACCACAAAACATACATCAGTGCCCAAGATTTCTCCGTCGTGATGTCATACCCTCTAAAAGTTAGGCTGAGAGAGAGAGCAGGAGATGTAGATGCACAAAAAAATAAACAATGTAGGAACATGTACACGTATGCAGAGTACGAGTACTCAATGACGGCTAGTAGTGAGGATGTGAAACGGCTGTGGGCGGTTTTAAGGGTGAGCACTTGGATGTCCTTATGGTCAAGAGGGTCATAACGGATGAGTTCAGGGAGGGAGAGGAGGTAAGTGGGGGACAATAAGGCATATGAATGTCACACTGTTGAAATAATTTTCCTGTCAGGGTTTGTGGTTGAAACCTTAGCCTCACTTTCACTGTTCTGCTATGCAAAATAAGGGTGTTGAAATCCCAGAGCCTGGTTAAGAAAAGAATAATGCAGCCAAACGTGTGTTTGACACCCTCACATCTATGTTTTTTTTTCTACATTTGTTTCGAGTTGTTAGGACATGAACTGTCTCTTTTCCCCTGAGTCTAATTCCATCAGTCATAACTTCATCGGCTATAATGCAACCTCAGATGCTTATCCTAATACTATGGCATATTACTATTGCAAAGTTAGAGGCACTGATTGTGCCCAAAGAAATCTTGAAGCAAATTTATAAAGAATACATTTTTTTGCAATGATTGTATTTGGACAGGATAGGAAAAATTCAAGCAGGGTACAAAGATACCGGGGGGTTTACTTGAGCTTCAAAATGACCCGTTACCAACTGGATGAGGCCCTACTGCCTACCTCAGTCCAAAAACATCATAGCTTAAAATCAACTACATCAAGTGGCTCTGTTGCTCTTGCGTAAAGAGTGCTCACACACAAAAACATTGCACACACACCCTTTGCTGTGTAAAACTTCAACTCTTTAAATAATAAACTGACTGTGAAAACCTGTGAAGCCCTCTGACAACTTAATAGCTGGCATATACTCATTTCTACATTTATTAGCCCGTTAGCAACACTTAGCAAGCATCCTAGCAAATTTGAAAACATTCACTTCACCGTCACATTTTCACACCTACATTTTAACAATTTCAGATATGGATTTTAAAATATCGATAAAGTGGTTCTGTGAATACCTTCA